CCTTGCCACTCATTTTGTAGCATTTGACCTCTGTGGTCCACGCTCTATGCCACTTCTCCCCATGCTGCATCGTGGAATGGAACCTCAAATGCCTGGAAGTACACTCTCCACTACCTACAGATATGTGAACTCTAACCAGCTGGGAGGCACCGTCCCTTCCTCTATGGGAAATCTCTCTTCGCTAATTCATCTGTGAGCTTGCTCCTGCGTGTAAAGCATGCACCATTGGTGGCAAAACGTTGAGTGGACATGGTATGCATATTTGTACCATGGGAGCATGTCATGTACCATATTGGGATTTGATGCCACTACTACTTGCTAAGTTGCACACTCATGCCTCATGGCAATCCAGAGCTTCTTTACTTCTCTCCCTAAATCCTGAACATATACTTAAACAACATTTTCATCTCTGGCCCGCCTGAAAGCGCCTATGTAGACCATGTGATGCGGGAGGACCGACGGAAATAAATCAAAACTTCCAGTTTTGAAAACAGGTTGAAGGGAAAAGTATGTGTTAAAAAAGGGAGGGTATGCCCGTTACACTTACAGAATGCCCCCCATGCAAGTGGAGGGGTCTGCCTATGCATGTATGTAGGTTGTACGCCCTCCAAATGACAGTTACGACTGTGGATTAGTTTGTATACTTTCTATAGTGTACTTACATCCAAAAACAAAAACAAACAAAACAAGAAGGAATGCCCCTACATTTTTGCTCACTCTAATCTAAGTATGTTTTGTGTCAAATTTGCCTACAGATACTTGAACTCCAACCAACTGAACGGCACCCTCCCTTCCTCTCTGGGCTGCCTCTCGTCATTGAATCGATTGTGAGTTCCTACCTGGATGCTTCTATGGGCAGCCCAGGTGCCATTGTGTTTAAAACACATATACTGAAACATCGTATTCCTTGACAAAAAAAGGAAGTGGTGATTCTGGCGGGAGGGAGTTGGATAAGGACCTCAGAGCGGTAAGGAGACCACACGGTGGTGTGGCCTTTGTGCACCAGGTTAAGGGGACGGGCACAGCTCAGGTATGGGTGAACGAGGGGCCAGGGGGGGCTTGGCTGCATGGCTGGGAAGGCGAGGGAGACATGGTGAGGGAAGAGAGGGGCAGGGGGAGGGCGTTACTGAAGACGTTGAGCGTAAATGCTACAGAGAAGTAGAAGATGATGGCTATAGTGATGCAGGATTTGCTGCTGGTATGAGTAAAACCCTGGCACTTTCATAACTTCCTATTTCTCCCCTTCATGTTTCCCCTATGCTGCTACGACATTGCCCCAGAGTTCTCCAATACAATCAGTTCACGGGCCAGATTCCTGAGTCACTAGGCAGTCTGACCAATCTTCAAGCACTGTAAATGAGGGTGGTAGCCACATTAGGCTATGGGGAAGATTGAGGGAAACAGGGGTGGTACAGGGGAACAAGGGTTGGGAAAGGAAAGTCAGGGATACAGTTAGCCACGTTCCTTGTCTTTCTCCTGTCTCATGTATTCTCCACATGGCCAAGCATCTTGCAGATTCCCTGTGCTTCTCAACCCTTCATAACCCATCACTATGCACCTAAACCATCTGATTCAATTGTAACAGAAGGCGTCCACTTCAATACTTGCAGTGAGGCCAGAAACTCTGCGAACTGCAAGAACAAGTATCCACATTCCATTGTTTGCAGTTATGCAAAATACAACCACTTGACAGGAGTTATACCATCATCATTTGGAAACTGGGCGTCTATGACTACCTTGTAAGCATGGCTGGAAGAGGCAATCTGACCTCTTTTCTTTCTTCTGTCTTGCCTACAAAATGTTTTCAAGCCTGCTGCTTCCAGTAACCACTTTGTTTTCGACCTTCAGTCAACATTGTAACTTAATTTTGCACCAAACCCTCGTTATGCCTCTCCCCACCTATTTGGCATTTAATCCAAAGGCCTGCCGCTGCTCAGCTGGACTCGCCTATTGGTGCCTCCTTTCCCCTCGTGTTCCTGTCTGCAGGGATTTGAGTGTGAACAACATTACAGGGTCCATTCCCGACACCTTCGGCAACCTCAAGGCCATGAAATACCTGTGAGCCCCGTTTATGGATGATAGAAGCTGGCAGAGACAAAGGAAGAATGGGTGTGAGGATGCTGGATAGGTGAGTGCAGATGTTCGTTATGTGAAAGAAGAAGTGACTGATTCACCCTTCTTTGGCTACCTATGATTGATCCGCATTTTTTAAATGGCCGCTCTCTTATCGCCGCCCACCTGCCATCAAATTGTTCGGCCAACGTGGCATTGTCATCCCCTTTTACTGTGACGTGAATATGTGTACACCTGACGTCCACAGATATGCTTACACCAACAAGTTGACAGACAAGCTCCCTTCCTCCCTGGGTAAACTCACTGCTCTCGTCCATCTGTGAGTTCCAGTCAGCCCGCTGCTACACAATATCAGAAATACGGAGTTGTTTGGCTAGCATGCATGTGGTGTTCTTGACATGACATGCGCCAAGCCAAAAGATTCATAGCTCCGGCACATGCGGGCCAGAGTGATGCTGAGTTGGTTGGATCAGCCTTAGCCCGATTCGACTCATTCTGTCTTCTTTTACCACACTTATATTGGCTTGTACATTAAGTTGACATAAAGTCATGTTATGCACCTGTACAATGTATGTTGCTTCTTACAATGTATGTGTCGTCTATAGACTATAGTGATTCAACATCCATCCATACTTTGAATAGGGTGTTATGTGAATGAAACTGATGCGCTGGTAATACAGTTTCTTGTTAAGCAAATGGTATGAAACAAGGTGGGTTGCATGCACCATGATGCCATTTGTGGATCTATCAGTGCCGTGCTCTGCACCGACGTCATATCAAGCCCCACCACTTCCACACAACCTTCCCTGTCGTTTCCTAAGGGAAAAGGCTGCTTTTGAAGAATATGCTCACAATCTTTACATTGCCACCATCTCTGCTGACGTTGCCTCTCTTACGATCCTGCTTCAACCCGTGGCGATCTTGTTCTTCCCTGTGCCTCTCCACTCCCCTCGTGCTCTTCTGGCCATGCCTCAGGCTCCTAAGCGTCAACCAGCTCTCAGGGCAGCTTCCAGAGTCCCTCGGCAATCTGGCCAGCCTTGAAGCACTGTAGGTGCAAATGGCAAAGCGGCATTGCATGGGATAGGTTCATGGAAGGATTAAGATGTGGTATGAAGGCACACATATGTATCGGCGAGCGGTTGTCCTTGGAAGCGTGAGTTGAGAGAGCAATGGTTGGCACACACTTTGACACTTCTTGCTTCAACACTCAGACAGTCTTGCTTTTGTATGAAGAGGCTAGCCTGCCCCTTCTCATAATGTAATTTCTGATTGACATGTTATCCCACTGCTAGTTTCTCTCCTCAGACGCCCTCTGAATTGGAGGCCTTTTTGGTTCCTCCATACTCCACCTCGCAAACTTCTCTCCAGGGATTTGAACTTCAACAACTTTGCAGGGACTATTCCTGCCACTTTGAGCAACCTCCAGGCCTTGAAGTATTTGTAAGCTTGACAGAAGCTGGTAGAGGTCAAATCATCCATAGGGGTCATGGAGTCGAGACACAAAGGTAGAGTGGTGAAGGAGGCTGTTTATTGTACTAAACTGTATATGAAGAGCGTTTTGTTAAAAACAATATGAAAGGTCACGCGTCATTTTCCTTCACTTGCCACTCCCGTGGGACTTAATAGGTAGCCTCACCCAGTGGTTGCTAGTTTTCCTCGCTCACAGCTTATCTTGAGCCACTAGGAGAATGTTGAGGGGGAACTAGACCTGGGAAAAATCGTGCGCAACGGATAGGGGAGGAGTTCGGGGGGGGAATGGGGGGAAACAAAGATGAGAGGTGAGGGATGAATGTTAGGCACAGTGTTTCAGATGGGAGGAGCTGACAAACACATCTCGCTTCATGAAATTACACAAGCTGACCTACACACTTGGGTCATGGCTGGTCGTGCCTGAAAGTAAGTGGACCTTGGTTGTTTCAGTTCAGGCTCGGCTTGATAGAGAGCCCCCTCCCCCACAATGATCTTAAATATAACCCATTTTCATTATCACTGCGTGCATGAATTGTGATATTTGACCCACCTTTTCCCACGTCTACGACTCCATCCTCTTTCCTCCCACACCCCACCTCATTGGGCCTCCTGCAGCATTTTGGGGTACAACCAGCTGGTGGGAACGCTGCCCTCCGTGGAGCTCATGCCCTCACTCAAGTTCATGATCGCAAGCTACAACTTCCTCACCAGTGTAGCGGTTCCCACACCAGCATGCCCCACGTACCAGGCTGTGCTGCAGTTCAACTGCTTTCCCACCAACCTGACCATTTGCGGAAGCCTGCAATACCAGAAGAATGCCACCTGGTGCACGTTATTCTGTGGAAACGGGCCCTCCAGTCCGCCTTGTAGTGGCCATGGAGTGTGCTCCTACTCGCCCCCGAGCACAGATGCCAAGTGCGCTTGTGACTATGGTTATACGGATGGAACCGCCAATGCCACATGTGTGGCACAACAAGGTATGAATGCTACTATGCCGCAATTGTATGTGATATCTCTCTGAGCGTTTGAGTGAAAACGCTGATCCAAATCAAAATCTCGCATAGCAAACTTCTTATGTGGCCATCCATATCAACATGAGGCATGAACTTTTCACACAAGCTTCCCTCATGCCACATAAAACACAATCCACCTTTCATGTCTAACCAAATCCCTCAAAGTGTATTGCCATTTCAATGTTCCAATACAACCATATGTGCCCCATACATTGTCTTCCTCAGGACCGTACCTCCCTCCATACCTCTCCTCCTACTCACAACCGGTGAATCTGTCACAGTCGGCATCTTCTGCCCCCAACGGCTCCATCTCTCTCTCGCCTGCATTGGCCAATGCATCATGGGGAGCGGCTTTCATACAGAGGCCCATCACTATTCTTCTCAACCAGCAAAAAGACACCCTGCGACCTGCCCGTAGCCTTTTCGGTTTCATTTGCATTTCGAATGACTCCTGCTGCTGCTGGTTCATCCACAGCAAGCGAGGGCCTGGCGTTTGTGATCACTGCAGCAGCACCCCCGGGAACTGCAGCAGGGGTGGGGCTAGGAGGGGTGGGGAAGCGGAGTGTGGCGGTGGAGTTTGACTCGGTGCTGAGTGTGAAGCACAGCGACCCCAACGACAACCACGTGGGCGTCAATGTGGCCGGCTCACCTGCGTCCCTCGCCTCTGCCACGGCCCCTCTCACCCTCAACGACGCCCACACCAAGCACGCCTGGATCCACTACGACCCCACCAGCGGCGGCACTCTCCGAGTCTTCCTCTCAGCCTCCAGGCAGCAGCCGTCCAAGGCTGTGGTGACGGCGAGAGTGTCTCTGTGCAGCGCGCTCAAGCCGACCATTGGCAATGCCTCCTTCCTCTTCGGATTTGTGGCCGCCTCAAACAACACTCAGAGGCACGACATTCTGTGGTGGAACATTGCCACAAGTGAGCAGACTGATATTTCTGCTTATTGAACATCGTTTTTTGTCCGTGAGAGCTGTTGAGAATACAACTAACTTCACATTCAAAGTTTTTTTCACGATGCTACCTTTGTTGCTATCTGGTCACTTGTAAAATATTGTCATCTTCTGTTTGCGTGGGCGTGTTTGTGCGTGCACGCGCGCGCGTACGTGCGTGCGTAACTGTGTGTGTATGTGTGTGTGAGTGTGTGTGTGTGTGTGTGCGTGCGTGCGTGCATGCGTGCGTGCGTGCGTGTGTGTGTGTGTGTGTGTGTGTGTGTGCGTGCGTGCGTGCATGCGTGCGTGCGTGCGTGCGTGTGTGTGTGTGTGTGTGTGTGTGTGCGCGTGCTTGTGTATGATTGCACGCACATGTCTATCCATATCTATGTGCACGTATACATATGTGCAGAGACGCCATATATAATAGTGGACTGGCAGCATCAGACACCTGGTAAGAGCGCCATCATCGCCTTTCGTTTCCCACGATCCACAATAGGATCTTAAGCAGCTTCTTATAGCCTGCTTTTCCAATTTACCCGTGGGTCGTTCAAACATCCATGTCTAATCTCCAAGATCCACCCTGGGTGAACCAACAGGTAGTGAATTCGGGCAGGTTGTATCCAAGGAAGAGTTGACAGCCAGCAGCGCCGACATTGTGCCCTCTTCGTTCCACTATGCCAGCCTAGCCTTCCTTCCCGATGCGGATGGGCTGCCTTCCTGGACCCTCCCTTCCTATGTCTCGTGGATGCGGGATGAGTCAACGTGGCCCGTGAAGAACCACCATGGATGCGGTATGAGATACACGGGGTATGGCATGGCATCAATGCTGTAGGGTATGGCATGGTTGGTGTTGGGAAAAGATACGATATGGAAAGAATACAGTATGCTGTGGACGTATGAAGGCACATTATGGTTGGTGTTATGGGGTAGCTATGTACCCTGCTCATGCTCGAGTGCGGGGCCTAGGTTTATGCACACACGGCTTGCATAATGAAAAGCATGCTCTATCATTTCAAAATAATCGGTTATCATCTCACCCCTGCTCAGCACAGCCTCCGGTCATCCCCTTCCCCCACTTGCACACTCTCCTCCCCCGCCGGCCTGCAGCCGACTCCTCAGCATATGCAGTGGTGGCGGCTGTGGAGGCAGCTTACAGCATCGCAAGCAACTCGTATAGTCCCCCCAGGCTCTCAGTGGACCATCTTCGGCTGGCCCTGTCGTCCAACTGCGACGACATGCCTCCGCGCGATGTGCTGGCCTTCCTGGTGGCTGCCACGCGCAAGAGAGGGGGGCTCGTGGATGAGGCAGCAGCAGCGGCCGCCAGTCCACACAGCATGGCGTCCGCCGGCCGGCGGGAGAGACTGGCCGCGGTGAGTTGCAGCGACTGGTGGGTGCTGGTGATGCTGAATGATGATGCATGACAAGTGGTGATGATGAATGGTGATACACGCAAGTGGTCATGACGAGTGATGATGCATGTGAGTGGTGATGTTGAATCGTGATAACACACGAGTGGTGATGATGAATCATGATAGACACGAGGGTTGATGATGAATCATGATAAACACGAGTGGCGATGACGAATCATGATACATGCGAATGGTGATGATGAATATTTGCAATTGCATGGAGACCTAGGTGAACAGGGAAACACTCGCGCCTCCCCCGGAGACACCGGAGATCACTCACACCTTATCCCCCTATGTCTTCGTGCTGCAGAAGGTGAAGTACTATGGCATTCAGAGCTTTGAAGACAGCTCGTTCGAGGGCTGGCTGGGCCTGCTTCTGGCAGTGCAGCGACAGCCAGTGATTGTACGAATTGAGGCGTCTGCTCCGTCATTCCTTGATTACGATGGGGTGAGATTCCATGGATCTTCACACCATGGTCATATACCAGCGTATGTTGCTGTTCTTGAACATTTGAAACCCCACGGCTGTTTCCATTGACTAAAACCATTGCATGCGGGCTACCCTATTCCATTCTTCTGTCTTACCACCCAGACACTGAAGTACTCTGATGCCAGATGCTTCCAAAACGGAGTGAACCACGCAGTTCTGGTGCTGGGATATGCTGTCAGAGAGGACCTCTCCAGTCCGTTTAGCCTGCCTGCGCCTCTCTGGGTGATCCGCAACTCATGGGGCAGCGAGTGGGGGGCTGCAGGGCACATGTACATGGATATGCAGAGCGGGCCGGGCGTCTGTGGCATCAACACACTGCCAGGCATCTTCCCCATCCTCCGATGTACGCAAAGAGCAGTCTGTTCACAGCTCCTCTCATGTACTCTTCCTCATGTCTGTATAGGTGCTCCTTCACTTGTTGCGAAAAATAGTGCAGCTTGATTCGATACACATGGAGTCAGTAATAGTTGTGGGAAAGGCTACAAGGATTGGAACACTGCCGCGTCTACTACTGGGAAAGCACGATTTGTACGTCACATCACATGCTCTTGCACTGTACGTTCTCTCATCTCTATGTGGTACGTCTGGCAGTTTTGTAGGTACAGGCAGCTTCTGTCGGGCACTATTACCATGTTGGGCATTACAGGCGCTTGGAATATGTACTCCACGTATGCTCTTGCCCTTGTTATGCATATTGTCCCATCTGTGTGTTGTGCGTGGTGTGTGCATGGCAGCTACTGCTGACCCGTGTGGCAGCAAGTCAGTGATGCTGGCGGGCTCGCAGGGAGTGGCAGGGAGCAACTCGTTCAACCCGTGTGGGCAGTTCAAGTGCTCCAAGGCCGGAGCATCCAACCGCTGTGCCTGTGCTGCTCCCCACTTCGTCCAGGCCTCCCACCCCGACGGCTCCAACACCTGCGCCTATTGTGAGCCCACCCCACCCTCGCAATCCCTCGTTCTCTTCTGACCACCATTTTCAATGTACTGCTTACCCAAACACCTCCTTCCCCTCTCTGCCCTCCCTGCTGCTGCCAGTGGACGCCTGTGGGCTGGCAGGCAGCAACCCGTGTGTGGTGGGCACGTGTGTGAACGACGGCAAGGGCAGCTACTCCTGTGTGTGTCCCCCGGGATTCGTTCAAGGCACCACCGCCAAGGGAACTCTTTCCTGTGCTCCAAGTGCCATTGACCCTCATCCTTCCATGCTCTGCTGCATGGGACATTCTCTCTCACGCCTGCCTTATGGCTTCCTTCTTTTTACCAGAACGATTGGAGTTGGATAACAAATATTCATCTTGCATGCTATGCGGTACTTGTTTTGTGCTGATGTGCATGCTGTGCTGACACTTGCAGGTGACAGCAAGGGCAGCTACACAGTGCGTGGAAGCAGTGTGTGGTGCTCTCACTTGCTGCCCGTGCTTGGCCTCACTCTGGACGAACTCAAGCAGAAGAACAAGGTCGGTTGCTTCATATGCATCTAGTGCTCAACTCAACTGTTCACCACTCGAGCAGACACAATATGTAACGTTCATCCCGGAGTGCCTTTCTTTCTCCATGGCTGCAGATCTCCTGCTCCAAGCCCATCCCAGTGGGGTTCAAGCTGAACATCACGCCGACTCAGCTTCTTCCCACCTGCTCGCTCATCTACACCACCCACCTTGTGAGCGCACCAAGCCAGCACTGCATCCATCATCTCGCTCTGTGATAATTCTTTGCAATGGACTGCAAGACTGGTCTCATAGACTATGACGCTAACTGCGTTCCATTCTTGACTGTAACTTCTTGTAACTCGATTGAATGGGAAATTGGCTGTGTCTGCAGGGTGACAGCTGTGCATCGATAGCTGAGCTGTTTGGTCTGAGCGTGGGGTGCCCCGTGGAGGGCGAGGCATGTGAGGAGGCGTTGGTGGGGCTCAACCCCGGGCTGGACTGTGCAGCACTCACGGGCAGGTTGGCCGTGTGTGTGGAGCGGGAGGAGAGCAAGGCGGGGATGGTGGCAGTGTGTGACCAGCAGTATGAAATGGGGGGCGGTGATGACTGCGATGCTGCAAGAATAGCCGTGAATCCGCCTTTGAGCCCTCTAGAGTTCTATCGCCTCAACCCAGGCATCAACTGCAACAACCGCCTGCCGACTGCTACCTTCGAGGGCTTCTCACAGCGCAAGGTGCGGCATTTGTGTGCTAAGATGGATGTGATGCAGCTTCAGATTGCACACGCTGTATCTTTTTCATCCCTGTAAACCTCCGTCCCTTGAGTTGCTTCCTGCAGGCGTGCATTCACAGCAGTGTCAGGTTCAGAACTGGCACATGCCCTGGGGGCACATACAACATTTCAGCCAGGGACACCTGTGACAAGATTGTTGTACTGGGATTTGCTAGCATCAAGGGCTGCTACAGGAAGATTAATGGATTTGAGTGCTTGGAAAAGTCACCTGCTGGGACAATTGTCTGCACTCCCAACGCTTCTAGTGCTCGTGTGGGGATATGTTCATCTGGGGTATAGGTAGACGTGAAAATCTCCAGCTTATTCTCAATAACCTATGCTCCCATATGTAGGACCCGGGCAACTTTCCAATCTTTCAAAAAAGAATGTTTTGGTGGACGGTTTTAAAAGAGACCCCTATTCCTTCTTTAATCGTAAGAAACCAATTTTTACTGCGTAGTGAAGATAATTCTGCACAGTGCCACCAGAAAAACCAATTGCAGGAGTTTCTTGTGTTAGTAGACCTCCACTGGGGGTCCCGTCTTAGAAACTAAGGAAAGTGGCGAGAGAATGATCAGTTAGGTCAAAGGGGAAGGGGGGGGGGTGGTGGGGGGACTCACTACAAGCAAAAGTATCGAGACACTTTCTGTACCCGCTAACATGCAACTCACACCCCCATAGGCTAAGTGAGGGGCATCAAAGCAAGCAAAGCACACAAATTGTCACAAGACCAGTCAAGAGAAGCAACAACACAAAGCTCAGGGTGGATCACAAAGTCACCACAAAGTCTGAGCACAAGCTAGTGGCAACAAGGCCAATCCAAGAGTTTACAAATATATATGATACAAAGACAGGCAGAGCAAGAGACAAGAGCCAAGACCATAGCAACCGAGAACCCGTCTCAACAAGGCCAAACTGAACACAGAACCTATGGTGGTCACCAGGCTGAAGGGCCTTGGTCAAAATATCTGCAGTGTTGGCCTCGGAGGCCACGAAGTCCAAGCGCGCCTGCCCACGTCGCTGCAGCTCTCGAATGAGAGTACCTGACGTCGATGTGGTTCACTCTACTCTCCAGTCGAGGCCCTCGACATAGGACAAGGTCAGTGAGTAAGAAGGCCATGGCTCCGGCGTAAATCTCGGCCTCGGCGCTAGACTGCGCCACAAGCGAGGACCGAGTAGACCTCCACAACATAGCGCCAGAGCCCAAGCTGAAGCAATACCCCTGAGTAGACCTATGAGTCTCGACGCCGTCAGCGTAGGAAGAGTCGCAGTTTTCTGTGAGAACAATCGGCTGTCTCCCTCCAAGCACAAGCCCCATGCCTGATGTAGTCGCCAGGGCGGTGCCTCGTAGTCGCAACAAAGCGAGCTAGGATGATAAGAGGAAAGGCGAGGTTCGGACGAGTACAGGTCATCAGGTACATGAGGCAACCCACCAGATCTGCGTAGGGACCACAGGACTCAAACGGCTCGTCAGGAACAGGAGCAGTGAGTCTGTGGTCAATGGCAAGAGGAGTGGGCTGTGCAGTGGAGAGCTGAAGCCCGAACTGCTGAAGGACCTGCTGCACCATGTGTGACTGAGTAAGAGTGATGGTGCGAGTGGCTCTGTCCCTGGTGATCTGCATGCCATGGTAGCAACGCAGTTCACCAAGGTCAGTGCACGTGTGTCCCTTCTGCAGTTCGGACTTCACCTCAGCCAGAGCAACCCTGTCTGTAGTGGTAAAGACCAGGTCGTCGACGTAGACAAGAACAAAGAAAGGCGTGGGCCCACGACGAACATACAGCGAGGGGTCAGCAGTGGACGGTGCGAAGCCGAGGCCGGCGATTGTTGAACGAAGAGTGTCGTGCCACTCACGGGGTGCCTGGCAGAGACCGTAGACTGGTCGTCTCAGGCTACACTTGGTCCCAGGTGGGAAGGTGCAAGTGAAGCCAGGAGGACGCCGCAGCCAGATCTCCTCGTGCAGGTGGCCCTGAAGGAAGGAAGTGGAGAAGTCGAGGGAGTGCAGCTCGTAGTCTCTCTGCGCTGCGACGTGGAGTAACACTCGAAGAGTGGTCATCTTCGGGGTGGGTGCAAAAGTCTGAAAGAAGTCAACTCCATCACGCTGACTGAAACCTCTAGCCAAGTAGCGCGTCTTGAAGACAGGCGGAGATCCAGGTGGCCGATTCCGGAGGGGGAACTGCGTCGACGTAGGTGCCTGTGCACCTGTAGGAGGCCATCTCTGCGTCCATGGCAGCTATCCACTGAGAGGCCTACGGCCTTGACACTGCCTCACTGTACGTGCGAGGGGTCGGTATGTCAAGGGCGTCGGGGTCTCCCTCAGGAGCTAGCACCATGGCACAGAGATGAGGAGAAGCGGTTGCTAAGAACTCCCGCTCAAACTGCCTATCCTCTTGGACGTCACAGCCAAGGGCAGACTCACCCCCGGCGGACAGAGGACGGGTAGGAGGATCAACCACCACCTGGGTGGCGTAGTCAAGGCGGCGGGCAGCGGTGAAGTCAGTGACAGCGGCAGTAAGGGCCAAGACAGACGATGGAGAGGCACGAGGGTCCGTAACAAGTGAGGCAAGAACACGCGAGAGAACAGGACGAGACGCGCGATAGTAGTCAGTGATAGGGCGAGAGGTGGAGGCAATGAGGGACGACACAGGAGGGGAAGGGAGAACAGATTGAGGAGGACGAGGAAGACTAGAACGAAACAGAACAGTACGCAGGTCAGTGACTGGGGACAAGGGACGAGCATGGGGAGAACACTCAGTGGTCCAAGTGTGCGAAGGAGCAGGAGGAGACGACTCGAACTGAGGACGAGGGAAAACAGCCAAAGACGAGTCAGGAGGAGGAAACGTAGGACCATAAACAGGAGGAGACGGGGAACGGTTGGGAGGAGGAGAAGGAAGACCAAGGGCCCGAAGGCCACTCACAGGGGGCAACGACTCCTGCAAGGGCAGGGGGTGCAATGACTGCCACTGCGACCGGTGCTGCTGCTCCAGCTGCTGCAGCTCCCGCTGCTGCAGCTGCTTCAGTCGCTGCAGCTTCTGTCTATGCTGCTCCAGCTCCAGCAACTCCTGCGCCATATCTCCTGCACCTCGCGCTCAAGTCGAAGAAGAGGCTGATGCCGTGTCGGGTAGCGGTGGGAAGGCGGAGCAGGCACCGCAAAAGTAGTAGCTCTGGCTCCGCGCTCCTCAGCTCTAGCTCCAGTCCCAGCACCCCCAGAGTCAGTACCCCCAGCGTCAACACGTCCAGCCCTAGCACCCTCAGCTCCAACGCCCTCAACTCCAGTATCAGCCGCACCCGCACCCCCAGAAGTAGCACCTCCAGTGACAGCACCTACAGCTCCAGCACCCACATAGCTAGCACCTCTAGGGTCTGCACCTCCAACACCACACCCACAGAGTCCACGGCAACCTGTGGTGGAAGCGCTGACGTCTGGGGCGGTGACTGTGAGGACGACTGTGGGGAAGGGGACAGGACCTGACGGGCTACCGAGGGGAGGGGGGTGACGTGCGACACACCCGACTGGGCACGACCAGGGGGGGGATGGTGAACCGGAGGGGTGGGGGCAGGAGGAGGAATGGGAGCCAGAAAGAGAGGAGGGAGGGGAACCGGGAGACCGCAATAGGGGTACCGGGTATAGTAGGACACGAACTCATCAAAGCGGACGTCACGGGAGTCAAGGAACCGGTGAAGGGGCGGGTGGTAGAAGGTGAAGTTAGAGGAGTCCTCTGTAAAACCAAGGAAGACACAGGGGAGGGCGCAAGGCGAGAGCTTGTGTCGGAAATTCCCTTACCCTCTGGATTCTTCCTCCCTCTTCCCATCACTCCCCCTTTCACCTGCTACCTCTTGTTCCCTCTGTGTGCCTTGCTCTGGACTCCCCTTACTGCTCTGTGTGATTGATACCTTCTTGTACCTGCCTGTCTCGACCCACGTAGCTCTGTCCTCATCTCTCTGGTTCTTCCCTTCCCCTGGTTCTCCTCCTGCCTCCTTCCCTGCTTCTGACTCTCCTCACTGTTCCCCGTTACTGGTACCACCTTGCCCCCTCCCGTGGCCCTTAGCCGCCCTCGCCCTGGTCACGGGACCCTGATACGCCGGTGTGTCAGCTCCAGCCCTCGCCACGTTGGTGACATGATCCACTTCCCGGACCCCACCCTCACTCTTCAGGACCAACACCCCTGAGTCTCGAATTTCCTTGACTGTCCAGCGCTGATGCGACAGTCCCACGTCCAGGCTGTCTTTCTTAGGTCGGCGGATGTAAACCTCTTGTCCCTGCTGCAAGGCTGCAGGCGCTCCGCCAGCCCTTTGCTCCTGGCGCTGCTTGTACCTGTGGATGTCACGCAGCTGAGCCACATGCAGGCTCTCCAATGCTACTGGCAGCAAACGGCGAAGGTACTCGCCGCGGACCACCGCCAGCGCTGCCCACTTCTTTGATGATCCTGCAGTGACCACATCTGTGAGCACTCGTGGCGCTCCCACCGGCAGCACTGCTTCCCTCCCAAAGAGCAGATGGTAAGGAGATAGGTCCTTCAGTGCAACCTGCTTGCTGAAGCGATACCCCGCCGTGACCCAATGAAGATGCCTGTCCCAGTCTCGTTTCTGAGTCTCCCCGTATGCTCACAGTCCGCGCTTCAATGTCTGAATCAGCCGCTCAGTGAGGCCGTCACTCTGCGGATGGTAGCGGGAGGTGGTGCGGTGCGGAGTCAGGCACGAAGCTAGCAGTTCATCAAACTCCCCTTGGAATTCCGTGCCTTGGTCTGTCAGCACCTCTCCGCATGCTCCAGAGCGAGTGAGCGCTTGCTTTTCAAAGGCCTCCGCCACTGCCACTGCAGTCTTGTTGCTCAGGGCGCGCACTTCCACCCACTTGCTCACGTGCTCGATCATCACCACCACGTACCGCTGACCCCGTTTAGTTAATGGCAGCTCCCCCGCCAGGTCCAGCGACCACAGGTACCCCAAGCCCACCACTGGTAAGGGTTGCAACTCCGCCTTGCTCCTCTCGAAGGCGGCGCGGTTCCTGATACACGCCGGGCACTTGGTCACCCAGTCCT